ACCAGTGCTACAAAGCTATGAAGGTAGAAAAACATATATTTGTAAGGATGTGCAGAAACACTATTGATAATGAGAGAAATTTGGGAGGAAAATAATTTTATGGTATTGGTTAAAGTATATCTATCTATACAACAACCACATCACAAAATACATGAGAGTAGGGCTTGGCCCTGTGGCACAGTGTTAAGCACTGTGTATACTAGGCCAGATCCTACACAGTCAACCAAGGTTCAAATCTCCAGTGGCTTGAGGAACATGCTGGGCCTGTGTGCATGCATGCCCAGAATCCTGATGGGATTGAGAAACGCAGGAAGAAGGATTGCAGCGTGACCACACCCCACCAAAGGGTGTGTTCTCTCTTTCTCTGATGAGTGCATGTACCCTTTGGCAATAAAAAAAATAAATAAATAAAAGAGAAATGAAACAAACCAGAAAACACAAGTGTAAAAGAATATTTAATAACAGGGAAAATGTTTGCAATGTAATTTTAAGTGAAAAAAAAAAGTATGATCAAATGCCTATCAAAAGTAAGAGTCATACCCTTTTGGCATGTACAACGCAATACTACGAAGCTATGGAGAAGAATGCTTTACTTCTATATGCATACTGACTTAGAAGGATTTCTTCTTGCTAATTTACATTTCCCAAAAAAATTATTTGTAAAAAGAATAAAAAAACCACTGAAAACAATTATCAATAATTGTTCACAAGGTATTATTTACATATTGTCATAGTATACGATTTGGTCATCATGTGTGTGGTGCCAATATTACATATGAGTAAAGCTGCCCATGTTTATCAACATACATGTAACTGCAACTACACTCAGGTTTATTCATTAATGTGCACCTGACATATTGTGGGCTCCATGCCCAAGGGCTATGCAAGGGGTCAGATTTGGTAAATGGAGAGTCAAAGGGAAGTGTCGATAGGCTCTGAATAGAGACAGACGGAGAAGTCTACACACATCCAGGATCGCAGTGAGGGTTGAGGCCTCCTTGTAAACAATAATGCCAACGCATATGTGGATATTCCACACATAGATCCTCCCTTATGGCCATGAATAAAATAAAATTAGAAAATCGTCAGCCAGTGGAGCCACAAGCAGACTTAATCAGCACGTGTTGATCCCTCCCAACATTCCTGACTTTAATTATTATAGATTGAGTTCAACTGGTTACCCAGGACCCAGGCACAGCTGGCCCCACCCCATCACCTTTTACTATAATAACCATAAGTCTTAATTTCTTCTTCGATCAATAACTCCATGTCTGAATTCTAAAATTCATCATCTGCTCTCATATTCCACTGATAAATGGCTTGAATCAATGTCAGGCACATTATTCTTAGAGCACTGGCTTATTGTATCAGAGACATCTGGTTTCCCAAGAAGCTTCTAGGACCCTGGATATTTAAGGGCACCGAAGACTGGAGCTAAGACAGAAGTCCCATTAACCCTTAGGTGTTCACTTTTAGGTCATGAAGTCCATGAACTGCTGGTGACTGGTCCTTGAAGATACACATACAATTGAGAGTAAGTTATCTAGAAACTTATATAACAATTTGACATTGCCACAATAGTGTACATGATTTTTTCAAAATTTCTAATTGACATGTAATAATTACACATACTTATAGGGTACAATGTGATTATTCAATATATGCATGTGATATTAATTGCCTGTATACAACCTTTCACGGACCACATGCGTGGTTTTATGATTCTTTTCTTTTTTTCTAATTATGTGTCCTTTGAGTATATTTTCTTAAATATAATTTTATGCTTATTTAATCTAATAATTAAATGTCTAGGTTTCTCTTGTATATGTCTTTGATTTTTCTAGTAAGTCTTTTTTTATTTCTTTTTTAATATCATGAATTATTATTTACATTTAATCATTGTACATCTCTATGGACACGATATGTTTTTCAAGGCATGCAGGCAGTACACAGCAAGTCAATTTTATTGTATTTTATAATCGTTTCAGTCAATAAGCTGGAGTTGTTTGTTTTTTGTTTTGCTTTTTTTTCTTTATAGAAAAAAAGTCCATCTACAGAAAGAATTTGAGAAACATTAAGTAGGTTTGGGCCTTTAAGTCATGGGTTTAGTCCTCAAATAATTTTTAATTTAAATTAATGAACTAATTTGCCAGAGGCCACATGCACTTGCCAGAGAAAGTGAGAAAGCATGCCCATGAGGAATGGTTGCACTGTTAATCCCTTTTCCTCTATATCTTCTTTTGGGATTTTGGGCACACATACACAAGCACCCAGTGTGTTTTTCAGGCCGCTGGATCCAAGACTTGAACCTTGCATTCGCTCATGTGGAATCCAATTGCCTTAACCACATGCCACAGGCTGGCTCTGATTTTATTTTTTATGACACAGAGCTTGTGCATGAGAGAGAAAAGAAAGCACACACGCATGCGAGAGAGAGACCAACCCTCTCCAGGGTCCTTCGCACTCCAGCTCCTTAGGATCCTGGGCACATGTGCACATGCCTTGTGTGTTTCCAGGCTAACCCAGGGATCCAAACCCATGGTAGGTCATGTGGCTTCCAGCATCGAAGTTTGGTTTGCTACTAACTATGTCACAGGCTGTGCCTTCTCAGATTTTTTCTTTTAAGAAATAGTTTTGGGACCAGCAGTTGGCGTAATGGCTATGTCGCTGGACTCCCATGTAGTCAACCACAGTTTGAGTCCTGGACCCAGTGGCTTCAACTCATGCTGGGTGCATGTGTGCCCCAAAGTCAGAGAGAATGCAGCAGAAGGGATTGTGGTATGGCCATCCCCCCGGGGGGCTGATTTCTCACTTTATGTCTCTCTGTCTCTCTCTGTCTTTTTGGAGAGTGCACGCACCCTATAGCAAAAAACCTCTCAAAAAAAAAAAAAAAAGAAAAGAAAAGAAAAAAGAAGTATTTTTGCCAGAGTATGAATGCATTTGGCAGCCAAAGAGAGAAGAAAGCACTCCCTAAAAGAATGTGGTCATGTACAATCCTTCCTATCATTTTTCCATCTTCATCAGAATTTTGGGCTGGTACACACATACACATGACCACTGCGTTTTTCAAGCCTCCAGGGCTGGGATTCAAACAGCTGTAGGCCATGTATGATTCAGCTCCCTTAATCACTAGGCTACTGGGCGGGCTCTCAGATTTTTTTTTTTAAACTTTTTACTATAGGTAGGGTGAGTGCACTCACCAGAGACAGAGAGAGAAAAGGAAAGTGAAAAAGCATCCCCGCAGGGAGGATGGCCACATTGCAACCTCTCCTCCATTCTCCTCTTGGGATTTTGGGCATTCGTGAACGTGCGCCCAGCATGTTTCTCAAGCCGCCAGGTCCAGGCTCGAACCACACAGATAGCTATGTGAGATCCAGTCACCTTAACCTCCATGTCACTTCCTGACCTAGGTATTTTTTTATGAATGGAGATAAGCAAGAGTTGAATAGAGCTGGCATTTGGGGTATGGCTTTGTCTTTGCGATAAAACATCTCTTGAGTGGCATCTGGAAGAAACATGAGGCCCTTTGAAGAATCTCTTTGGACTAAGCTGATAAGAGGTCAATGAACTGAGAGTATGAAACATAACCCAGAATTTTAGAATAATCCAGCGTGATACAAAATATCAGAATTATTATTTTGTGCTGAGAGACTCCTGATTATTCTATCGGCTTTAATATGTTCATTTCAAACACAGTCCTTATCCCCAGTGCACCCTGCTGCATTGTCATTTCACGGAAACTTTTTGGTCTGCATAATTGTACCCAGCAACATTAAACATTTTATTTAAAGCAACCTGTGCTACACGAAAATGTGTATAAAAATAGAGGGCGGAGGATAAGATATTGCAACCCACAGCTTTGGTTTCCTTGTTTGGTTTCCTTCAGGAAGGGATAATCATGCATTTTAAGCCACATGATCTAAATAGGGGATAATCAAAACTGAAAGGCGAGAAGTGGTCGTACTGTGACCAAGAGACCTGGGTGAATTGAGGTCCTGTCTTGAATCAAATTGCCATTCACATTTGAGATGGATTTGACCATCCAAAGGCTAAGTCAGACTTCCTGATATCTACTGGCTCCAGAAATCTAAACGATCAAAAGCATCGCTCTCTGTGCAATAAATGCTTCTCACTTTGGAGAGATCTCACAAGCCTTATCCCCCAGGTAAGCGCCCCAAGATTACCTAAAGCCAGGGATTTCCCTGTCTGGTGCCAATTTATCTTTTCACATAAATCAATAGTAGGTTAGTGCTACAGTGTTCTTCACCTAAGCCCTGCAATCCCTTCCCTTAGGATAGAAGAAAATATCTTTTTCATCAGAAATACAGCAAATCCTAAGTGGACTCTGAGATTGTCTTGCTTCTCTGAGGTTAAGATTCTTTCTGAGGGTGGCACACAGAGGTAGAAAAGGACAAAGGCCTGGGGTCTAGTACTGCCCTTGTACCTCTCAGCTGTGGGCCTCACTGTTTCCTCATCTGCAAAATGGGTTAGCTAACTCCTGGGATTACCATAAAAATTAAATTATAATGCATGTAAAACAGTACTTGGCACATAGTAAATATTAGCTGCTATAATTATTTACTCATCTTAAAGGGCATACCATTTCCAAAAGGCTTTTTAAGGTGTGTGATATAAGCGGAGAATCACAGCAAATTTTTCCTTTCTCAAAAGGACCAAATCCCCCAAATCTGAGTCTTGGGTCAAAACTACATTTGGATATCATTACCACATGAAAAAGAGACCAAGAAAGAAAGCAGTGGGCCAGGTGCTGGCACAGTGGTAACACAACTGGATCCACAAGGAAAAGGTCCTGAGTTCACAGCCCGGGACCTCTCTGGGCACACTGGGTAAGTGCAACACCTGTGATCCAGACCAGCTGAGATGGAGAGTGGATCGGACTGTGTAGACACAGCACTGGCACTGTGGGTGCCTGTCTCTGTCTGTCTTTGTGTATCTCTCTCATGGAAGAAAGGGATAAAAACTTAAAGGGTGAGAAATGGGTTGAGGTCTGTCCTGATAGGGCTTTTTCTGTACTGCACATTGTTGGAAACACCACACAGAGTAACACTGTGGTTTTGGCTTACCGATAGGACTACTGGTTAGATCTGTGAGAACAACTAAAAGCATGAAAGCTCTCATGATAATTTCATTACACAGGTCTTGCCATATCCTGCAGATCATGGACTGTCTTTATGTGATGGCTTAGGGACAAATATGACGTGAACTCATTCATGTTAAAAGGGGGTGACAGAATCTGAACACCAGGAAGACCCATCCACGCCAAAAGTGACCCTAAAGGAAATTACCTGAAGAAATTAGATCCCAGTGATCCTTAGTGGGCATTTTTTGAAGCTAACACTATGTCCATAATTCAAGTGGAGATAAAGGAAGCCCCAATGAAAGAATTGCAGTAAGGCTGACAGTGCAACTGTGGATTAAGCACCGGTTCCTTTACAAAGGGCTATCTTGAAGATAAATCTTGACTTAAGCTTTGGAAGAACTAAGGTGGTGACCTTGATGGGCAGTGTGGAAAGAATCACATGTGAAATTCCTTAAATAACAACTTACTGAGTTAAAAAAAAAAAAAAAAGAATGAGCAATGGAGAATTTGATAGCAAAAATAATGGACAAAAGAAGGACAAACATTGTAAAATGTACATGTAAAAAATTTGACTTTGAGTACTATAAATTTAAAACAATAATAATGGAACTTAAGAAACATTCCCAGGGGATGGGCCAGCAGGTGGTGTGGTGGTTAAGGTGCTAAACTCCCTCATGGCTTACTGTGGTTAGAGTCCTGAACTGGCAGCATGGAAAATCATGCTAGGTGTGTGCCCAAAATTCTGAGAGAATGGAAGAGAAGGGATTGTGGGAGTGATTTCTCATTTTCCTTCTCTCTGTCTTCCTGTCTGGTGAGTGCACATGTCCTATGGAAAAACAAGAACAAAAACAAAAACAAAACTAAACCAAAAAATCCCCAGAGGGAGACAGGCAGAGATCTCAAGTGAATTTCAAGTGCCAGCGAACCTGAGTAGGGTAAGAGCTTGGTTTTGGAACTGGCTGGGTTGTCAGTGCCTGGTGCAGAGCTCCTCAAATTGCATCACCCTCTGTAACAAGGGAACTGGTTATTCAATCTGCATTCCTAAATGAGAACCAGCTACCCCATCTGAATTGCCCAAATTCAATTAAGTCACCTGGCATGCTTCCTGTCAATACTCTCTCTCTTGGCTGGCTTTGTCTTTTAACCGTTATCGCCTCTGATCGTCATGAAGTCAGGGGCGGCCAAGCTGTCTGTCTACAGCCAACACCAGAAGAAAGCTTTTCCTGGGCCAGCGAAGTAACAAGGTGAGGCTGCATGGGGCCCAATGACCTCTTGCTTGGGAAACATCAGGGTGGCTCTGCAAACCAGTGTGCTGCTTTTCCAAGAGGAGCGATCCCTTTTCCACTGTTTTCTACTCCTTAATGGGCTATTTCTAGAATTCAAGAAAATAACTGGAATATGAGGCTACCTTCCAGTTTGGTGTTGATATACAAGTTCCTGGGGTAATCGTGCACACCTCCGCCACATCTCGGACTTCAGTGGACTTACCAGCTCAGGGGCTTGTTAAACATGCAGATTCTTGTTAGGGTAAGGCCTCCAATTCTGTACTTTCAAGCACCCAAGGGTGTATAACAATAAATTTAAATAATGATTTGGAAACATCACACATGGAGAGAAATACTGAGGAAAGCAAGGAGAAGTGACTAAAAAAGCCACCTCATAGAATTATAGAGACTTGACCCCCAACTGTCCTCACAACCAAAAAACAAGAATCCCTGAAGGTCGGGAATGTTCGGTGTTTCTGCTGCCACCTGGGCTCTGCGGCTTGCAGGAAGAGTTCAATTCTTGGGTGGGGAACTAACCTGTAGCTAGTGTTTGTCCACTCATGCTTTTTCGACATAGAAAAAGGACCTAGCTCTGTAGCTGTCATGTGAGCTGAACTAGGACTAGGCCATCCAGGTGTTTTTCTGGACTTTGTAAGATCTTGGGTATGGAATGAAGTGGGCTTCAGCCATTTCTGAATGGGCAAGCCAGAGGCAGGGGCTTTGTTTCTGGCGAGGGGGATCTGTAGCCTGGTGAGCAAGAACAGACGAGAAAGGGGACTGTGGTGGTAGGGTTAGTCTGTGGGTGGACTCCCCACTATTCCTGTCCCTGTTTTTTACTGCAACCACCCTCAATTTTGTAAGTAGGACCACTCATCCCTGGTTTCCTTTCTCATGCAGGAATGGGTGGAATCTGTGGTCTTCAGATTAGCCAATCAGAGTTTCTCATTCTGTGTCCCACAGCTCGGATGGAGCAGATGAGAGTGTATTTGTAGAAATGCTGGAACAACTGGATGCTGGAGGAGTGAGGCATGGAGTCATAGTGACCAACTTGCCTTGGCAAGGGGTGCATCTGTCTGCAGATGAAGCCAATGCAGAGAAAACTACCGTAGGAGGGGAGAGGGAGAGAGAGGGAAAGGGCAAGACAGGAGAGAGGAAGAGAGAAACGGCTGGTGGTTGAGTCTGATGCCCTGATGAAATCATGCATATCTGCCATCCTGCTAAGATCCCGCCTGTGGACTCCGGGCTTTTCAGACTATGCCAATCATCTCTTTTCTAAGTAAACTCAGACATGCTCTTTCTAAAATGGTGATGTAGAGACCTAACCACACAGCCAGACCTTTCACATGACATGTCTGGTCTTACATGGAAAAGCTATTTTCACTTTTTTTTTTCATGTACAAGATGCTGACCGTGACACTTCTTAAAAGGTATATATCCAGTTTAGGGCAACAGAAGACATAATATCTCATCCTTTTTCACAATTCTTCATTTCTACATTTGAATCTCTGACAGGGCTAGCGGCTACGTGGGAAATTCCGGGATGCACAGCCAGAATAAGGAACTCTATACGATAGAGGAGGCGGCCGAGACCATGGCAGGTGAGTCAATCTGCTCGAGGCTCCTCACCGAGGCCCCTCCATCAGTGAAGGAGTCGTCACGCACTGCAAGTCAGTGCTGTGGATGAGGGGAAGTACACATTTGCACTGGAAGAAGGCCCTTTTCTCCAGGTCACCGCAGCCCTCCTCCTCTGGCATGGGAAGGTGGCTCTCAGCCTACAATGGCATCTGGAGGGGAAGGCGCTCACCATGTTCATCAGCCAGAAAACCGGTGTTCAAGATCCCCCCCCACCCCCGCAATTCCCAGTGCCCTTGCCCACTCTGCCTGTGCACAACTTTCCCTCCTTCATCATCGCATGCTGGCCTGGGCTCTGCCAGACGTGCTACGGGCATGGCCCTCTGCGTCTGTGCTGGCTTGGTTTTTCTCCACCAGTAAGCAGCAGAGGTCTAGCACGGGTGTGGTCAGAAGGACGTGGGTTCAGCGTGACTCTCACTTATCGCTGTGACTGGGCAAATGGCCACCTCTCTACGGCTCAGGTTGCTCACCTATGCAACGGGACATAATAGAGCAGGCCTTGCAGGGCTTTTGCAGACGACTGAGATACATGTAACGCCTTTGGTCTGGCTCTCACTAACGACAGTACACATTGTTAATAGGAGCTAATATTTACTTAGCACAGAGGCTGTCAGCACATCATTTCGTGGACACTCATCCTCAGCTCTCTGTCTGATTCTACCTGTATTCAACAGCTACTTCAAGTCCTGCCGTCCCCCTTCATCTTTAATCCTGACCACTCCAGTCCTCTCTCCCTACTCTCTCTACTCTGGATTCTCTTGCAGGAGCATGCAGGAGTCCTTTACGTTCATCATGTTCAGTTATCCCATCCATTTTCACACTCAGGCTATCTGGACCATCTTGCTTTCTGTTCATGCTAGTCTTCCCTCCCGTACGGCCTAGTAGTCAATCCCAGGAGCTTCGGGGTCAATCAGTTCTGGTTTCAAATCCTCGCTCTTTACTGTGTCTCCTTTAAAATGTAATTTAACCTCTCAGTCTCAGTGTCCTCATCAGTTGGATGGTAATAATAACCCTTACCTCTCGAGGTCATTGAGCACACTACAGGAAATGCTGCATACAGAGTGCTAGGCACCGTTGTTCAGCAAGTGCACGCAGCAAAGCCCTACCCTTGCTAATATAATTAGAGCCGTAGCTGCAAGTGCACCTAGCTCGCGGCCTCACACCTGGTAGGAGCTCAGTTGATCTTAACCCAGAGGCATTTCCTTCTCCCTGGCTGCCTGTGCTGTCCCACAGTCTCCACAAGGTGGCAACCTATCCATGATAGAGGAAGCTTCTATTTCCAGAACAGAGAAGATAAAATGATTTCTTATGGAATATATAGATGACTTATTTTTCTTTTTGCCTTTCAGTGGTAGGTAGGTGGGAAAGAACTAAAAATCCTTGCAGGCTCCTGGTTCCATTTTCCATTGGTTTACTGTCCGTATGCACTGGGCCAGCAGGGAGAGGCTGAAGCAGATTAAAGTCAACTGCACTTTGAGGGGTTCTCTCTTGAATGTGGTGGGCACCAATGCCCTCACTTTCCCAACCAGACTCCATCAAAAAGCCTGCTGGGCTCAGGAATCCCCCCAGCAGGTTCCCATCCTGCAGCTGTGTAGGCATCAGGAAGGCTGACGGAGGGTACCATATACATAGCTAGGGTAACTGTTTTGGCCCTGTCTCACCTGGTTTTAAAACAGGAAGCCCCATATCCTAGAAACTCCTTTAGTCCTAGACCAGTGGGGCAGCTGGCCACCACGGGGCACCTCTGCCATGATCCTACTCTAACACAGATGTGGCTTTCCTTTCTCAATGACATGGGTACAATTTACCAAGGCCCTAGAATTCCATAATTTTATATTTGGAAAGGACCACAGACAAGACTCAGTTTCCCCAGCATGGGGAGAATGGAATAATAGACTTGCCTGGGTCTCATGGCTGGGCGGGGGAAGGATCCAGAACCTCGAGTCTCATCCTCAGCTCTTTTATAGGGCACCTGTCCACTTGGGACCATGGGGTAGAGAAGGAGGACTGTCTGGCTTCCAGACATTCCCTCAATGGTGCTTTTGAAAAATAGCAACCAGGGCTGAGTGTGCCCGGGGAGACTAGGAGATTTAACTGAAATCGAGGTTCTGCCAGAGTACTCAGAGAGCAGT